GAAATAAAAATATTTTTTATATAACACTGTTATAGATATTTATTGAAAAACGTCAAGTAGGAATTATCATCATTTACTTGACGTTTTTCAATAAATATCTACAACAGTGTTATATAAAAAATATTTTAAAAATCCCTTTAAAGGAAATTTTTAAAAAATCAATATAAATTTATATTTTAGAAATAATTTGCAAAAATTAGTAGTTCTAAAATTCTACAAACGTTTCTTGCTTCAAAATAAATCCCAGGCGCAAATTTGACGGAAGTTTCCGCCCATCCGACGAGTATATCTGTATAAATTTAGCTTAAAACCCGCGAGGAACCCAGACTGATGATCATTGCATAATAATCCATTGTAGGATACCAGAGAAAAGAGACAGGGGCACGTTTTGCTTGGCTGATGGCTTTTTGAAGCCGATGATGTCATGGCATCGTTATGGCTTGGATTTGAACTTTGGCAATATTTTAGCGTAGATGGTGATGATTAGTTAAATGTGTGCTTTGAAAGGGATCGCGCTGGCAGAAGTTGACGCATCGCAAACACAAACTCCACTCCACTCCACTCCACTTCACTCAATTGCGTAAGCATGGCTTTAAAAATCAATCCATTGGAATGGTCAGATCTGGCGATTATTCACTACCAACCGAATTCGATTTCGCTTTCTTTCGCGATGTGTCATGATCCATGACAATTGCTGACCAATATCTTTCGGGTGGGTAAATAAATGGAAAAACGACAAAAATGCCACAGCGAAAACATAAACAAAATCCGCAAAAATGTAACGAGGTCAATTATATGATTTTGAAGTCTGGTTTATGGCCAGGTTGAGTGAGTTGTAAGCCCTGATCCGCGAGTGCCTTTTCTGGCGGCGTTTGGGGGTGACACATATAGTAAAGTGAGAGAGAATTCCATTTACTAGTTATTTGTCGAGGTGTTTTCGGTACTGGAAGTTTCACCGGAAATCCAAAACAACATTTGATTTATGATAAAACCGTTGTTGTCGTCGACCTCCTCCCGCGACTTTTTATGGCTTATCTAAAAATGACGGTGACTGACGGCCAACAAGTGTTATTTTTTGTAGGGGGGTTCGTCAACGGGGCTTTCAGGCGGTTATTTTCCGATCCCCATCTGGCAGGGGAGTACGAGTTCGGCTACGACTTCAGCTACAACTACGAGTACGGAGTTCATGTGGGCCAAGTGTTCCATTTACGTGTCGCCCGCACTGATAGAGAATACCTATACCTATGCCTATATAGATATAGCGAGAGGTGGCGGTGGCTACGTTGCGTGCTGCGGATATACAAATGTACACGGCACTTTTATATATTCACGCTAATTGAGTGTGGATTCTTAGCTCCAAAAGCGGCCAGGTGATTAGTACGTGGCCAATGTTCCAATGGCTGAGATACAGCAGTGAACATGAGGGGAATCGGACAAGATTACAATTACAGCCAGACTTTTAAGAGTCGAACTTTTTGTAATTACTGGAACACATTTTACTTATTAAAATTTTAAAGTAAAATCTATTAACATACAGGTTTTAGGTACTAAAACTAAGTCTACTTTTAAATAATTTTAAAAAATAAGTTGATAAATAACAAGATTTTAAATAAATCTCACTTTTTAGAGCCCAGTTTTTAGTTTTAAAAAGTTTTTAAATATTCAAACTTTGCTTATTCAAGTTGATACCTAAAATCTTTTATTTTTAATTCTCCGCTTTAGTTTTCAAACATGTACTAAAAAGAATTTATCTTTCTAAGCTTTAAAGTTACTTCTTAAATATTTGTTTACAACATGGTATAAATATTTTGAGTAATTTGAAACCTTTATAACTAGAACAATGGGTGGTCAGGTGGAGGTTTGAGTTGGAAAAGTGGGTCCGTAATTAAGGTGGTCTGGCGATCTGATGGAAGGGTTGCTAAACTAAACTAAATGGGCAACTGATCCCTTGGCCGAAATTTGAGATCCATGACCATTTGTCGGTGACTGCCGCCGTTAAAGTCGGGAAAAGCACACACGCAAGCATTCAAGCTAACATATAGAGAACCCAAAGGGGCAAACAACAATTTTGTTTTCTTACGTTTTTACCTCACTTTTGTTTTGCTGTTTGCTTACGCCACATACTCAGTTTAAAGTGCTTGTGTTGGAAAAGGTGCTGCTATCGCTTCTTCCTCCTGTCACCCGTACACCCGTGCACCCGAACACAAACCCAAACTCGAACCCCCACTAAAAATGAGCGATTCCCTGAGAGACCGGCAACTCATTCAAAATTGCTCAAAACTAAAGACGCTATAAGTTTGGTGGATCGGGGAGGAAACGAGGAGGACCAAGCAAAGGCAGCTGGTGGGATGACATCATCGCCATTTGCTCCTGGGGAGCCATTTGATCGCGGTTTGAAGTCGCACCAGCAGCTGCGCTTTCAGGCATCGCGGAAACTGAAAAACACTCGATTCTTATTCTCTATTTTGTATACTATACCCTATGCCAAGGTTCTTCCTATCCCTATTCGCAACAAACGTAAAGCTAAGGTCAAAATTTAAGTAGGTTTCAAAATAGTATGATTTGTAAAAAAAAAATTCAGAAACAATAGCGATTTAATATGAAATTATTTTATTTACAATTTAAATTTAGCTTGTATATAAGCAACTTTAACCGTATACTATTATTTTAAGCCCAAGTGTACTTTAAAAATGAACCAGTGTAGATAATACCGATAAACAAGGTCTTTTAGTAAATGGCTGACTCAAGAAAATAAAATCCGGGTAGCAAACTTTCAGATAAGCAAGCACAAGAAAAACAAAACCCAAATATTTTTGCATGGTAAAACAGTAAAACATGGTAAACCCATCAAGGGTATATAAAACTTCGGATATGGTAAACCCATTTTTGTTACCCATTTTTATTTCGTTTTTTGTTTGGGCAATGTTGTAACTGTAGTTGTTGTTGATGTTGTTGGACTGCACTTAATCCCCTTTGCCGGCGACATATACAATTTCACTCTGGCTTGCCCAGGGGCGACTTGAATTGCGTAACCCCGACTTGACGAGGGCGAAATTGTCGAAGGGTACGAGTACTACAAGTACCCCCCCACAAAACAAAAAAAAACCGATGCATTTGTATGAGTGCATTAAATGCAAAGTGCTGCTAATGGACGGAACTAATGTTGTCAATTTACAAAAGGGGAAAGCTAGACTACTGGAATTGTCCCGAATATAGAGTATTTCTTATTATTCGTTTAATGAAAGGTTTTTAGATCATCCACTATTTATGATAACTATGGATATGAGTTCATCATTAAAAGATCTAATGTTCACCAAGACATTATACAGAACTCGAAATTTCTATAGCTGTTTGTTTTTGACAACAAATGTTTTGATTTATTAAGGCACATCTGTGTCTCCCTAGTTCGAACTGAATCACCTGCACTGACAATGCCTTAAAATCACCTAAATCATCTTCAAGCTTTCAAATTACGCATGCATCACACATGTGTATATATCTTTACATACTATACATACATATATACTTGTTCGTTCGACTTATCAACGAAATGAGGTCATTCCTTGTTAGACGCTGGCAATTTCAAGACCATTTATAGCTAATTTTTTGGCATTTGGCGCGAGCAGATAAAAACTTGGCGTCGTAGCGCCAAATAAAGTCAATGCAGCTTCCAAACTCACTCGAACCCCCATGCAAAGCGGATTTTTGGGGGCAATTTGTTTATTGTGTTGTTTTGTTTGGTTTTACTTTTTTGTTTTTTTGGGTGTTTTTTTTTGTTGTACTTACTTTGCGCTGGGCCTCGGCGGCGAAACCAGACTTAGCAGCTCGGTTGGATGCCATTTTTGTTATTTGCTGGAGAAACGGGTTTGCAGGGAGCTAAAATGTAGGTTGGTCTTGGGCTCGAATGGCTTAAATGCACCACTGTCCACTGGAATGTTTTGCCGCGGAATGAAACGGAGGGAGCGCAAGGGTTAAAGCCAAGTTATTTGAGATACGTCCGTTCGCAACGAGAGCTTACTGCGTTTTGAAAGGCGTCGAAATCGGGGAGACCGAGGAAACCTCGCAACAGCTCTGCGAGAAACAGTGTTGGGTAGAGAACCGGCACATTGTACCTAGCCGAGGTAAAAATAAATTGAACCGAACTGTCATATCAAAAAAAACATATATTATCTATTAAAATACTATGTTATATAATAGCTAGGACATCATCTTTCTAGATAGAAATCCCTTTTCGAATAAAAAGATACAAAAGGTGCATAAAAAAACATATATTTAGTCAGCTTTGTATCTTGGTACGTACCTAAGAGTTCCCCAACACTGGAGAGAGGGAGAGAACGAAAAGGAGGGGGAGAGCATAAAAGCTCCAAGCTGCGCTCTTGCTCTGTATTTGTGTGGCTTATCAGCGTCAGCTGTTTTTATGTGATGGAACTGATGATGTCATAGCGCTTTTTTTAACGGCAGTTGTTTTCAAAAATAAAATCGGAAGCCTAAACTATTGTACACTGAAAAAAAGTACTTAAGTCCTTGAGCAACTTCATTGCGTAGAAACAAAAATCCGTTAATAATTAAAAAAAAATGTAATGACAACGAGTCTGTAAGATTCGGTATATCGTTTTAAATTAAGCTACAATTCGCTCTTGAAATTTGATTTGGGGAAAATTTTGAGAAAATGGCTTGTCGGTTAAATGTTTTTTTTTAAGTTTGGAAACTTTTCTGTTGTTTTTTTTTGTATTTCGAGATTTTTAATATTGTTCCTGGAGGATTCGTTGTTCATTTGACAGGCATAACATCACATTTACCTCCATTCAGGTTAATTTTTTGAGTGTAGGTACTAACTAAACGATAAGATAAAGTTTCGCCAGAGTAAAATTCCATTTGTTGCTTACTATTGTTCCGCCTTATCGAGAGGGTATTGCAGCAGCATTCCATTCAAATGACCATGACATTTTCAGGGACTTTCTGGAAGCCAGAAAGTTAGCAAATCGCAGAGGTTTCAGAGGTTTGCCTTGAGAATTAGTTACAGTTTATTCACATAAATATATATTTTGTTTAATCGTATAAATTATGCAATTGTGGTTTTACGATAAGAAGCGAATTTCTTAAGTGCTTCAGTGTGGTTCTAAATAAATAGGGGGAATTGCTTGTATAATTTGTTGTTCTGTTTGTCGTGTTCGTTTCTTTTGTGTGGGTTGTGTGATATTTAATATTAAAAATACATAATTCAGCTTGATCTTTAAAGGATTTTGTTATGTTGGGTAGCATACACATTGGTTTTATGTGGGCTTGTCTTTTGTTTTGATTATATCGCCATTAGGTTTATAACATAGGAAAGCAGTAATTAACTAGAAGTTAGGGCGTATTAGTTGCATACACATATTGCCATTATAATATATTAATCTATTAACGGTTTTCGCATGCGAAACGCTCGAAAATGTATGTGTTCCTTCCGATTCTGTCTGCTAACGTTCTATAATCGATCTGCATCGATCATGCATCCTACTAACTGTTAAGGCCCTTTCGCTCAGATACAAGTGGGTGTGTGAGTTTCGTAGACTATGGGGATGATTTTTTATATATATCTTTATATAAATCGATTTATTTTTTACAATCTGTTATGCATGCTTCGAGGTGAACGACTCTTTAAAAAATAATCATCATAATTTATTTTTGCACATGGATAAATACAAATTACAAATATAAATGTGTATATATATAAAAAATTGTTTACCAAAAAATATATACGTAGACGCAAAATAGATAATATACAGAGAACTTTACTATAATAAAAGGTGACATAAGCATAATCAGATTTTGGACTCCTACTACAAACAAGTACAGCATGGTACTGCCATTTCCACTAGATGTGTATATCAAGCACTGACATCTGTGATTACAGTGGGTGTATATAATTGTTTATTTTGTTTACAGGCTACCTATATCTGCTCGACTAACTGCAAACAGTATCAGCAAATAATTTCAATTGAATTTCCTTTCCTCTCATTTTTTTTTCCTATTTTTTTTTCGTTTGTTTCGTTTTTGTTTTTAATAAATAATACCTCACGATTCGTTGGCTCAACGTAGTAAACTTAACTTACAGAACAACTGTGCAAAGTTGGGAAAAAAATAAAGGGGGGAGCGGATGCCCTCCTAGCAGTGAGGCGCTGTAGATGTGGATGGGGTTAATGGTATGTGGATACCGCGTCTTCGTCTTCATCTTTATCTTTATCTTCATGTTCGATTACGTTTATTGCTCGCTTGGGGGCCCGGCACACATAATTTGATCTGGTGCCCCGTAGAATCTCGCATTGTTGTTTAAACTAGGGGTTTGTCTCTACTAATTTTTATATAATTTTCAATTATATACGCTGCATTGACGTCGACGCAGGCGATTATATCCTGCTCTCTGGCTCAAGTTATACTCAATGTAAGCATGCACTTTCAACTTTTGAAGCGAGTTTGTAATTAAATTAGATCGAAACGCATCGCATCGAATCGAATCGAGTCGAAAATTGCATCAAATGTTCCTTTTCCTTTTCTTTTAGCTTAGTTGTAGTGCTTCACAAATAGATTTCTTTGATATTGAATTGCTTCGCAAACGATCCCCGAACTCTGGGGAGGATCTCCTCCATCTCTCACGCTTTCTCATTTAGGGTTTGTCTTAGTTCTTAACTAATTTTAACTTGCAGCTGCTCCGTCACGATTCGCTTGGGATCGGTCTCATTCCTATCCCCGTTCTCTCTGATTCTGATTCAGATCTATCTATATAATGTGTACGTTTAAATATATAGGTTTTTATAAGCTTTTATGTTTTCCTGTTTTTTTAGTAACCATAATTTGTCGCACTCTCCACTCGCATTCCTATATAGATCTCATCCTATAAATAAATACTCCAACTCCACACACATTTAGCTATATCAAGATTTAGGTTTAGAAAACAATTAGTTTTGCTTTCCTCATCCAATTCACAGCAGCGATATATCTGAGTGCAATAAAAAATAATATAAAATTAGTGGACTATTTGGTGAAATAAATGATCTAAGAAGTACCTTTATTCTCGTGACTATCAGCAGTGACTAGCGTGGTGGTTGCCGCTGTGCTCGTCAGCAAGCTGTTATTATTGTTCAGGTGTAGATCTTGTGACTCGATGCTCAGGTCAATCAGTTGGGTGGCGACCGGAGCAACTGCGTCCTGCAGCAGATTGATGTCACTGAAAATGAACAGCCATGTTAATACACAACATAAAACGAAGACCAATCCCGCTACTCACTTCTTGTTGTTGACATTCTCGATGTGACCATTGCCATTGGCCACTGCCGGTACAGTATTCACAGTATTGGTGCCCTCGAAGTCCACCAGCAACTTGCCGTTGCTCACCTGCTGCAGGTTCTTGGCGTTCTCATCGATGATCATTGTGGAGAAGCTGTTGATCAGCGAGTTCTCCTTGTCTAGCACCGACTGCTCGTACATCGCCTGGCTGTTGGGTGGCTCCTGCACCGTTTCCGTTTCCGTTTCCGTGGCCGTGGGCGCTGGCGTGGAATCCGCAGTGCTGGGCGAGCCCTCCGCCGAGTTGTTGCTGCTGCCACTGACGCTGCTGTTGCTGCTGCTATTGTTCTCCGGAGCTGATGCGGCAGGAGCGGCCTTGTCGTTAGCGTCCTGTAAACAAATTGTTTTGTTTAAGTAATGAAATCGAAGAATAAATTTAAATTAATAGTTGCGACATTAGCTGATATTGTTATACAATATTTGTATTATGGGTTTTGGCATACACTTTGCAAGTTGCCATCCCAAAACACTTGTACAAAAATATTTTATTAACAACTCAGCTGAATCATGAAAAAAAAGTAAATATTGCCAGGGACTGCAAATGATGATTATTTATGTGTTTTTTTAAATTAAAAAATTAGTCACTTAAAAGTCATACACTCCATAAATTTTTATACAAGATTTTTAATTATATAATATTGAATACAATAATTATTTTAAGTATTTAAATAATAATCAAAAATATGTTGATGAAAGTCGGAGTTTTATTTTAAGCAAAAACAAATAAAAATCATCAAAACGCATTCCTTTTGATTTATATATTTTGTTTTTTTTTTTTTGATGAAATATATTTATTGCTTTATGATTTTAATTTTCTTGCTTGAAACAACAATAATTCTTGAATAATATAATTAAAATAAATATAATTTGAAATAAAACGAACACTTATTACGGTTCCATTTGTCACATTTGTTTTTTTTTTGTACTAATGACAAACTTGTGTATTTTTGAAATGCTAAATTTAGTTTTTAAACTTTTATGGTTCCATCTTATCTAACTCAAAGTCTCTTCAGATTGAACTAATTCATTGGCAAAAGAGAGAGTAAGGTAAAATCCATTTTTTTTTTAACCAATATTGGAAAAGAAAATGTAAATCCTTACCTTGGAGGGTGTGGTGGCAGCACCTCCCTTGCGGGTGCGCAGCATGATGGCCTCCACCCGCTTGCGGCGCTCCTCGCGCTCCTTCTCCTCCCGCTTGAGCCGCTCGGCCACCTCGACGCGCTGCTTCTCCGCCTCCTCCTTGGCCTTCTTCTCGGCCTCCTCGCGCTCCACACGCTGCTTCTCCTCATCCTCGCGCTTGCGTTTCTCCTCCTCCTCGCGCTGCTGGGCTTCCTACAGGCAAAAATCGTAAGTAATTAGTTGCCTTTGTTCGTGGATGGGCGTCAACTCCTCTTACCTCGATGGCCTTGCGCAGACGCTCCTCCTCGCCGCGGCGCTGTTCCTCGGCCAGGCGAGTGGACTCCTCCTCGAACAGGCGCTGGCGCTCGGCCTCCTCCTCCTGGGCCTTGATCTCTGCCAGGCGTTCAGCCTCCAGTCGTTGGCGCTCTAATTCCGCCTGTCGTTCGGCCTCCTCGCGGGCCAGGCGTCGTCTCTCGGCCAAAGCGGCCTTGGCCTCCTCCTCGGTCGTGATCTTCTTGGCCATCATCGATGCGGTCATCAGATCGGCGCCCTCCGGCGGCGTCAGTTCCCGCACCTCGGAGTTCTCCTTGCTGCGCGACGGTTTCTTGGGCGCAGCCTGCTCCTGGGCCTTGGCTGTCTCCTTTTCGGTGCCCTCGTCCGACTTTTCCTCTACATTAATTGAGGCTATCAAGGCCTCCTCCGGCACGGGTTCCACTAATAAAGTTTGCTCCTCCTCCACCTGGCGCACCACTTCTTCCGTTTTCTCCGAGTTCAGAGCCTCCTTCTCGGCCTTGCTCACCGAAGGAACGGCAACAGGTGCCTCGATAGGAACTGGTGCTGCCTCAGGAACTGGCTCCTCTGCGGGCGTCTTCTCAGGCAGCACCTCCTTGGCCACGCCATTCTGCTCGGGAGCAGGGGCGGAAATGGGTGCGGGTACGGGTGCCGGTGCCGGTGCAGGAGCCGCTTTTGTGGTGGTTGTAGTGGAACTGCTGCTGGTGACAATCATGGACCTGGTCATCGCAGAGTTGTCCTTGGTTTTCGGCTCCTTGCTGAGCCGGCTGATGCGCTCCGAACTGGCCGTGCGACTTGGCAGAGCCTTGGAAGCGGATGCCGCCTTGGGCACCGGAGGTTCCTGTGCATGTTAAAACAGATTTAATGGGATTCCATTGGGTTTCATCCTTGAAGTGTCTAATCTTACCCGCTTTGAAGGCGTCTTCTTCTCGGCACTGCTCAGCCGCGATGAGCTGGAGGTCACGATCAGGGAGGTGGACATCAGGTTTGCAGTTCGTTTGGGTGTCGTTTGTGCGGATGGCGAGGCGGCTGTCGTCTTCACGGGTGGCTTTTGATCCCTCTTCAGTTTGTTGATCTCTGCGGGGTTAAAAGCTGATTGTTAGTTGGTTTATTTAAAGTACTTTCAAGGAGACTTACCCTCGAGGGACATGCCCGTTCCGGCGATGCTAGCGGGCCTCGGTTTCCGGGGCGCCGTGGCCGGTCGCCTGGGCACCAGCCCGGATGTGGACATGTTTGTCGATGTGGACATGGCGCTGCCGGGCCTTGAGCTGTTAAAGTGTCCGCCGGGCGTGGCATTTCCCGATCGCGAGCCTACAGAATCAAGTTTAGATTAGAACCGTTAAGGGATGAGGGTTTTCAAGGGTTTTTTTTTTAGGGGGGGTGTCAATATGGATGAGCTTATGTGGAGCACCAAATAAAGCGTACGTGAGTAGTGACCGTCACCAGAGTATACCATTATTGCAGGGGGGGAGGGAAACACAAGGAGTAAACACAAAACCAAGTGTGGGACACAAGTTAACCAAAGTACCAACAGACAAGATAGATTCCAATTATTCTAACACATAGCGAGCGCACATAATGAAGAGGAGACACAAAATAAACCAAGGGGCCAAACAACATATACCTATTACCAGGATGAGATAAACCCAGGCTCAAAGGAGCCCCAATAATACTTATGCTTATATGTGTTTTTAATGTTATATGATGGCTAAAATGTAAAATAAATATAAATCATAATGAAAGTAACAAAAAATGAATGTTTCACTTCACCATGGAATAAAAACCGATATAAAATAGTGTATTTGTGGATACATACGAACTAAACGACCGACAGACGGCGACAGGCAGCCAACAATATGGACCAGGGAATCCCCAACAATGATCTATTATGATAATGTGATGAAAGGAAGTCACCAAATGACAAGGAATTTTGACAACTACAGTGCGTTTTGGTGCTAATATCTTGATATGGTTTAAAAGAAATGTTTGTTTCGTAGATCTAATAAAATAAAATGTATAAAAGTACTTTCTATACTTCATTTGGCAATAAACCTTATTTAATTTAACTAAATAGATAAAAAATATAATTTTTGGATATAAAATTATTTGAAAAATGTTATAATAATATGCCATTTAAGTTTCAACTTTATAGTTTTTAAAATTATCAACTGTTTAGTTTTGGTAAAAAAAGGGTTTTCTCTCAAATATGAATTTTAGTTTTAGGAACTTTTAAAGTTTAAATTCTCTGGTTTTTGCCTTTCTTAATTATCTAGTGGTTCCAAGACGCACTGTTAATATTATTATTACATAAATGGACTTGCGATTGGAAATTGAATTGATTTTAAAGGATATAAGATCTTAAAACCGAATGCAATGAAAAGTGGATCACAAATTGCTGCTCAAATGAACTAAAGACAACCTCGATCGGTCGTTCTTCGTATGTCTTCTGTGGATCGATCTACGGGGAAACCAAAGCCTATGCGGGTGTACGTGTGTGTAGTGTGGTTGTGTAGTTTTTTGGAGTGTGGTGAAAGTTCAAGTTAGCCAATTGTGGTGCGCGCATTGTTGTTCTTGTGGTTTGTAGTGGGTGGCTATCGATAAGTAATCGCGAAAATGGGTAAGATGGCTACAATGCTATCCGGATTTAGATTTTAGATTTAGTGTGTGTTGTGTGTAGTGGTGCTAGTGTGTTTTTGGATTGGTGGTTTTTTTGGTTTTTTTGTTTTTGTTGGTAGTTCGAGATGTTTAATTTTGGTTTTTGTTTGTTAATCGCACACACCTGCATTCACTAACAAACTAGCAGAGTTCATGAGCAACAATGAGTTGGGATCGAGATCGAGAAAACGGTGGGGGTTAGTAGAGATCGCATATTGCTGCTGCTGGCCACGCCCAGTCGCCCAGTTCGCGCGTAAGGATGCAGAGTTGAAGGATGAGGCTGAGGCTGAGGCAAATGATGACTGGAGGTATTTCTTAGTTGCCGCAGTTTGCAGGCCGAGTGTGGACTGTCGCAGGTAGTGGTGCATTTGGTGGTTGGGTGGTGCTGTGCTGCCATAAACCGACCAACTGCTAATCTGTGTCATGCTCTTACTGGTGGAGTCCCGCTGACCGCCGGCTCCGCTGGCCAGCGGTCGGAAGCTGGTCGAGATTCCGCCGCCCAGCGAGTACTTTCCGCGTTCCCGCTGGCCACCTCCTCCTCCTCCTCCGGCCAGATGGGTCATGCTGCGGGACATGATGCCGGCGGCAGTGGAGCTGCCGCTACCGGCGCTTCCCGCCCGACGGGCTCGAGACGCCGCCGCGCCGCGTCGCCCACCGCCGCCCAGCGAGGCGGTCTCGTCCAGCATCTCCAGCTCCCGCTCGCGCCGCTCCCGCTCCAGGATGGCCCGCATGTGCTCCCCGTTCCGCCGAATCGGCTGCGCCAGCTGGTCCAAGCGGTTCATCGAGTACGCCCGTCCTGCGGTTCAGTTGAAAGTTGAAATTGGTTTCGTGAATCTTTTCGAGCCTGGCTCTGGCTGCGGATCCTTAGGGAGCTATGCTTATCTACACACAGTTGCGCTCAAAATAATAATAATGGGTGGTTTTCAAAAATGATAAACTACTACACTTATTTAAAGGTTTGATTTGCAAAATTGTTTTAATTCTATATTTTTTGTTATTTAAGTAATATTGGGAAAAGTAAGCCAATAGCAATAAGAATCATGGAAATTGTTTTGAAATATAGTTGTACCCTACAAAGTTGTTTTTAAATATATTTTTCCAATTTAAAAACCAATTAGGTATTTAGATATTAAAGAAATTTAAGATTTAATTCTTGGGAAAAGTAAGATTATAGCATTGAATTATTTTGAAACAAAGTTGTACTATGAATATTTAGTAAAAATATATTTTTAAAATTTCAAAACCAATTAAGTTAAGAAATTTAAGATTTAATTCTTGGAAAAGACAGGCTGATATCACTAAATATTTTCAAATTATCTTGAAAGTTAGTTAACCTTAAAAATTTGTTTAAAATATATATTTTTTTCCAAGAAAATTAAGTATTTGGATATTAACGAAATTTAAATTGTATTTCTTGGCAAAAGAAAGCTAATACCAATAAGGATCTACACAATATCTTAAAATCATAACAAATTAACCCTACTATTTCAAACGCAACTGCAGTTACAGATAGACGTCACAAAAATATGTGTACAAACTGGGCTACAAAATGGTGTGTACTAGTGGGTGTGCTTTAAGAAGGTGTGTTTAAGTGGCTGGTGTGAGTTTGTACAGTGTGTTCCGTGTGCGTGTACGAAAGTTCTGGTGTTGCAGGTGCCTGGAGGAGAGTGTGTGTGTGTGTGTTCCCTTTCTTTTTTTTTCTCACTTTCTCTCTGCCCAAGCAGCAAAGAACGAACCCGGGAATCGACGGAATAAAGTCAAAGGGGCTACTAAGGCTAGGGGCAACTGTTGGTCCGGGTCCGGAATGGGCTAAACCAAAAGGAAACGCAACTAATTGAATGGAAGGATGTCGAATGAAGAGCTGATGATGCGTAGCTGGACGATGAAGCTGATCGCTGGATGGGCATGATTGCTATTTGGGGTGCGATGTGGAGGTGGATCGTAGTGGGGGCATCTTACCTGGGGTTCTGGCCGGCGTGGTGCTCAGGGAGCTGCGCGAACCATAGTGCCCGTCTCGGGGGCTGGGTATTGTCGGCATGAGGTCCGTTTTCCTGCGGTAAACGCTTCGGAACACCATGGGTGATGTGTCAACGCAACTATCTTCTGCAATATTCGGTTTGGGGGTTGTTGGTTTTTGTTTTGTACATGATTTTGGATTTTGATATTCGATTTTTAGATGCAACTGCCGAAATGATTCACTTGCGATTTCGGCCATAAAATTATAAAAAATAACTTAAGGACTAGGAACGAGAGAAACCAAAAGCGAAAATAGCTAAAATTCGGAAAGTGTTTACACTGGAATCTCATTTTATTTGCTTAAAAGTTCTGTAAATTTGATGATAACTATCATAATTTGATCTAATAAATGGGGTTGTAAATTAATTATTATTGTTTTAAATTATTTAATAATTGTTTTTATTTTAGATCAAACTCAAACTATTATTTATTCTTATAAATATTATCTATGAAAAGTTTTTTTATAGTTATATCTTTTTGACAAACTTTTTAATGAATGTTTGACTTTATTTTACTTTTATACAGATTGAATTATGATATTGATAGTTTATCTTACAAAGAAAATATTGATTTCTAATTTTGATAGTTTATTTTTCATAGAAAATTACGAATCCTAAGTCCAGTGTAAACACTTTCAGTACCAAAAAAAAAAAACCATGCTGTTGGGGATCTACGTTGAATTCTCAATAGACGACCGATGCTGCTTTCGAGGGGTTAGGTTCAACAAAGAGCGCTGGAATCTGTACAATCTGGAGGGCGTAAAAACATCATGCAAAACTGAGGGGCAAAAGACATGCCAATGGTTGGTTTGGGTTAGGGGTAAGAGACAACGAGTTAAGAGCTTACGGCGGGGGTTACGATTACAAATACAATTACGGGGGGGTATAGGGTTAGGGTTAGGGGTTGCATTTGGGGTTACGGCAAAACAATAATCGTGGTCAGAACGAGAGTAGTTAAGAACGAGGAGGAGCAGGAGCTGAGAGGAGTAGAAGAAGAGCCCTCACCCTTACGATACGAGTTATGGTTGTTAAAGTTGTTGTGGCCTGCAGTTGAGGTGCTTGTTGCTGTGGTTGTTGTGAGATTTGTAGGTCTGTGCGCGTTGGCTGTTTGTTTGTTGGAAGTGGGCGGCGTATTGGGATTGGCCGGCCCATCGATATTTATCTCGCTGCCGGCGATGGAGAGCGAGAACCGCTTTGGCGGCTCGTCATTGGAATAGCCCCAATTGAACACCTCGTACATGGAGGAAGACTTGCGTCGGTGATCTGTGTGAAGTCGGTAGTATTTCGATTTGTTTTTTCAGAGATAGAGAGAGAAGTGAACGTTACAGAGGTGTGATTGCTGTTGGCGTTTGCGTTTTGGGTGCAAATCATATTGGAAAACAAAATTTAAAAAAGGAAATATAAAGTGATTGTGCCGTGAGGGAAGTCTGTGGGTGCCAGGGGTTTGCAACAATACAATAAAAGTAGTTCACATGTACACCATCTGGGCACAGTGGGAGATAACATAGTTTGGGGGGGTGGGGAGTTTATAGAAATCTCTAAATTGCGGGGCACATGTATAAACAATAACTGAGGTCTGTCAATTACAAGAGTTACGAGTGTCTAAGGTAACGATAACGATAACTGCAAAGTAAAATTAAATCTCATTATGTGTGTCTGGTGTCTCGGCGAGTGTGGAGTGTTCTCAAGTGTATAGAGTGTAAATCTGTTCTCGGGGGTGACTGAAGTGCCGCCGGAGGCATCGGGACTCACCATCTTGTCTGTCCGTCGAGGAGGAGGCACGCTTCTTAGCACCACTGTCGGCAAGTTCACGCTCTGAACTTCGACGTGAGAGCGAGGCGCCCGCTACGTTCGATATAGATGTGGATCTGGAGGGGAAAATTGAAAATTACTTATACAAATCGATTAAATAGATTTGCTATCCTATACTTTGTTATTCAAAGCTGTGATTTAGGTACTTTTAGAACAAATAATACATAGCTCTAATCAAAATATTGTCTAATCATAGTGAAATTTTAACTAACTTGATAGGAAATAATAACCAAATATTGATAACATAACATGCTACACTAATTTTAATACTTTCTATTTAATTGATTTGTATTATATATTAATTCGCAACTACTAAGTTATTATTATTATGACAAATTGCATTTGCTTAATTTTAGTAAACAATTTTGTCATTGAAATACTGATAAAAAAACAAATTAAATAATAAATTCTAGGCTATAATTTAGCATGTCAATCGAAGTACAGCGATAATTAGTCATGTGCAACACAAAGCACAGATAAAATCGTTCATAATACTAGTTCACATGAATGGCTAAAAAAGCAAATATGTGTGTTTTGTGTGGGCTGTTGGCTTTGTGCTGAGATAACTTTCATTGGGGTCTCACCTCCGCTGACCCCAAAAGGCACTGGGCGATACCAGACCATAATCCGCGGGCACATCCAGCAGGCGGGGAGTCGAGGAGCCAAAAGCGAAGCCGATGGAGTTTCTGTCCCGCCTTTTGACTTCTATCCGGGATTCGCGTTCCTTTAAGTGTAAAATATTCATTATAACAAGAGTTTGTTCATATTTAATTGGCAATCGCACCTGATTCTTTTTGAGAATATACTCGCGACGCTCCTTTTCGGCCTCGAAGATGGCCTTTTTGCGCTCCTCCACCTGGTGGCGCTTCTCTGTGTCCCGGATGCGGATCTCCTCGATCCGTCGCCGGCGCTCCTCCTCCTTCTGTTCGCGATACCGCTGGGCGGCCTCCGCCTGGGCGCGCAGCTCCTCGATCTTCCGGTGCCGCTCCTCATTTTGTCGATCGCGGGCATATTTCAGCTTCTCCTCGCGGTCTTTGGACGCTAAAAGCGTATCAAATTAATAGAGATTCGCACATATAAGGGAATAAATTAAATTTGGATAAACAAGTTACGGTTCGCAGGCAAATAAAAGTGGGAATATATTTCGCAGTTGTTGCTACCTGTGGCCGAAAAACAAAAATCAATAAATATCTACTTAATATACCCCATTTTTCGACTTTGCCGGCAAGTTATTTACAAGAGGTGGCCTGACGTCATCGACGAGATGTACGCTCACATTTTGTGGGTCAATTGACAAACTAGCAGCAACAATAACAAATGGCACAAATACACGGACAATAAGAGCCGCCGCCCCCGCATGAAATTTGCCTATGTGCAAAAAAAAAAAATAGAAAGCAAATAGCAGATGCAAGCGCACATTTTGTTCTATTGAAATGACATTGGGGAGGAAAAATGCAAAAATAAACAATAATAATAATAATATTGTTAGCATGCGGTTGAATGCGAAAGTCTGCATAATCGAACTGGGAACCGGTTCTTATCGCCTTATCGGTTAAGATATTTTTGGAATTCCATGACGTAAGTGAGACTACAAAGGAACACGACTGCAAGTCAATCTCATCGTTCGTTACAGGTGCGAAAATTTGGAGCTTATGAAAAAATTATCAGCGGCCAAGGTCGCAGTCAAATTTTTGTGGATTTAAACCCCCTGTTGGTTTAATTTTTGGAAAGCCAATTATTTTGCATTGAATTTTCGTTTGAGAAAATCAATTTTGTATTTTTTTTCTTGTGCTTGCCTGTGCGTTTTCTTTCCTTTTTTGGGAAAATCAAATTTATTGCATTTTTTTTTCGTCTGGCACAAAATAGCTCTTAAACTGTTAAAAGTTGGCAACTATTTTTTACCATTTAACAAATCTTTTTGGACATTAGTTTACATAAAAATTAAAACAGAATACTTTATTAGGGTAGTGATAAATATTCTCATAATAAGGTAATTAACAACTTTATACTAATTCAGTTGGAAATAAATTTTAAATAAAGAATTCCTCTAATTTTTAAAGTAAATAAAATGCACTTAAGTCCAAAAAGTTATGAAGGTGTCACTCTTGTAAGTTAAGTTGACTAAATTTAAATAGAAACCTAACAAGGATTTTTGAAAATTGCAATGTAAGAGCAAACTTACAAAGGTCAAAGAACTCTTATATTTCATATTTATGCTCCAGCAATGAGTCTATGTTAAAAATAGCCAATGTGTTTGCACTATGGATACGCGGCTTTGCCAGTTTTACCAAGGAAAATAGATAAGAAGATTTACAAATGAGCAAAACTAAGATTTCTTTTGATTTCTAGACCTGTAATAGACCAGTGACAGGGGTATTCGGGGGGTTAAAATCGCGATAAGGTGGCTTATGGGTCTTATTTGTTAGTGAGATCATGCGACTGGTATTTGGAGCATTCGTCTTGGGGGCGGATCGGAATGGGGCGTGGCTTTCGATCTTTCAAAGACCAGAGAAACGGAATGCCAACTACCTTGAGAGTCGTCTTCTTTAGCGCCGATTTGACCGCCCACCTGGGCGAACCAATGCAAAGTTGCGCCGGCGCTGCAGTTTGAAATCTTTTCAGGTGCGAGTGCGTGGGCTGGAGTTTGATATTCAAGTGATTTCATATGTGTAAAGTGCATATAGATATAGCCCGATTTTATGTAACCCCCGACGAGATAATAGATAGTCCCAATAGATAGGCTTACCTTTTCGCTCGGCACTGCCCTCGCGACTTTCGGATCGCTTGGATGTGTTTTCCACTGCAAAGAATTACGAAAAATGGGGGCAGGTGAGAAGTGCGTTTCGGGATTTTCCGGAGTTTTACACGGGGACTCGACTTGTGGGGAAAATCAATTTGGCAAAGGAAAACGGCAAAAGGCGAAAAAGCGTGGGGAGGGGGAACACAAAAACACACACACACACACACACACACAAACAGAGCGCAGCTGCGATGACGAAGCGAGAGACATAGAGAAATAGGGGAAAATGTATGTTTCCTTCTCGCTTTTTTATGTCAGACTGGAACTTATTTATAAACTCAAAACTCCGAATCGGGGGAAACCGAAACATTCACCCATTTGAGGGGGCAGACTTTTCTTTTTCTCTCGCTTTTTTTCTTTCTTTTTTTTCACTCCGTTTGGTTTTTTTTTTTTGGCCGTGGTGTGAGTGCCGTTTTGCTGCGCAGTCGACCAGCACTTTTTGGCCATGTAAAATGTACCGAAAACGCGTATATCCTAGCCGATTTTCGATCGCCGACAAAGCGCCGGGCTTTATCCTTTGATTTCGCACTCGCTGGGGACTGTTTTCAATGCGTACCTTCTGGATTATTCGAAATATTTTCGTGTTGACCCCCAAGACTCGCCATATTCACTTTACTTAGCGCTGCAAACAGTGTGACCAACTTGGGGGTGTGGAAATATACCATGCTACGAGCTCATGGGAAAATACTTTTTTATTTAATGAAAATACTAGTAATATACCATTTTTTCAAATGATTTTAAAGTTTTGTATTGTTGAATTAAATTATATTATTTAATAACATTTTTGATTTAATTTACTAGTTAAGTTATCCATTGTACAGTACCGTTATTTGGGTGGTATATTCTGAATACTCTACCAGGGTTGTCAACAGTCTGCTACGCTGTTGACTAATGTGGTACCTTTTAATTTAAAAGTTAGGTACAATTTTGCAGGCTCTTGTATTGCTCCACTTATTTAATTTACTTCCTAAAAATAGTTCTGGATTATCCAATATATGTTTATTATTGTGTACCGGGTACCAGGTAAACGCCTTAGCCAAAAATCCTTCCAGTAATTTATTCAGTAACGACCTTAATCTAAGGACCCTATATAAGCTGTAAATAAAACTTAATGCTTCTCGGCAGCTATGCATAGTTTGGCCAGAAGGGCGGTGAGCTGCAGCAGGGAATTGATGCCGTCGACAATCTTCATGTGGGTGATGCCAATCTCCCGGATGAAGTCCAGCTTCAGATGCTCATCGATGTTGACGCGCTTGCAGACGCGGAATATGTTGCCAATGATGTCCTCCGGCGAGTATCCCAGCTTCCATAGCTTGGCCAGAATCTTGTAGGCCTTGTGGATATCGTTGGCGGCACAATGTTGGATCATCTCCTCCAGGAGCTTGGGATGCGGCTCATCGCAGACCTTGAACACGTTCTCCGCATTGATATCGCCGAATCCCTGGGCGGTGGACTGCAGATTATTCAGCCCCTGTCGCATATCTCCTTGGGCGGTGAAGACAATGGCCTCCAGTCCGTCCTCCGTGTAGTTGAGCTTCTCCCACTTGGTCACCTCGATGAGCTTGGCCAGAACCTGGGCATCGGATAGCTTGGTGAACCGCAACATGGCGCAGCGCGATTGGATGGGCTCGATGATCTTCTCGCTGGTGTTGCAGGCCAGGGCGAAGCGCGTGGTGCTGCTGTAGATCTCCATGGTGCGGCGCAGCGCCTGCTGGGCACCCTCCGTCATGCTGTCCGCCTCGTCCAGTATCACGATCTTGTGCCGGCCGCGCGGCAATGTCACCTTTTGCTGGGCAAACATCTTGATCTTGTTGCGCACCACATCGATTCCTCGCTCATTGGAGGCATTCAGCTCGAGCACAGCCTCTTTGTAGCTGTCTCCCAGGAGAATCCTCGCCAGACACTGGATCGTGGTGGTCTTGCCCACGCCTGGCGGTCCCTATAAGCCAAAATTATTACTCCCTAACCGAGTTTTAATCCTTCAGAACTCACAGCTATGATTATATTGGGTGCATTTCCTTGTGTGGCGAAGACGGATAATCGCGCCACTGTATCCTCGTTGCCCACAATCTCCTTGAACTTCACCGGGCGGTACTTTTCAATCCATGGCAAGTGACTACGCTTGTCGTCTACGGCAATTTCGGGTTCTTCCGGCATTTTCGTGCAATTATCAGAAATTCGCAGAGACAAACCAAACAAATTTAAGCGATGGCGTGGGACTGCAGTGTGACCGTACTATGGGCGCCAAAATACGAATGGTTGGTATTTTTCACTTTTATGATTTTAAACTTTTCATCGATTTTTTATCAAGTATTTTAACGTTTATTATATATATTTTGAAACATGTTTATGACTCATTTTAAAATAAGTTGTTTAAGCAGTCTGATTAAAAATTAAAAACTAACCTTTAGCTTAGAACATTAGAGATTTTTCAAATAGTTAATTTTACAAATCTTTGGAAAGAAATCGTTAGTTTTTTGTATCATTTCAAAGTTTTCAAAAATGGTTTTCTCAACAAAATATGATTTTTATTAAAAAATGTTTTAATAAATAAATAATAAATCTATTAGTTTTTATGTTTTATTTAATATTTTTCAAAATACTGTTCTTCGGATTAAAATGAACTTAACGTTTTGATAAGAAGCGAATATATTTTTCTGAATAATAAAATTAAAAATGTTCAAGTTAATTTGGAAACAATTTGTTAATTTTTTTTGATAAGCTTTATTGGGTATTGACGAAATTACAATACATTCAGATGCCTCGGGTGCAAAAAATTTGAACTTGCATTTAAATATAGTTCGAATTATATCAAATACATATTTTTATTGAACCACTTTCAAAATATCATACGTTTTTGAAATCTTTATGGTTTTTAGACAATTTGGTTTAGTGTTTTATCTTTAATGTTAACATTTAAATATTTTCTGATGTCAATTGGCCGAATATGTATATAATTTCACACAGGCTCATCCATAATTTGATCGATTTGACTAAGTTCGGAAATTTATTCAATGGTTGAAGTAATCCGAGGTGAATATTATATGGTGCTGTGATATTCGTGTCCAGTTTTTCTTTTTCTTTTTTCTAGTTATCATGCTACAGTATAAGAGCCAGTATAGGGGCTTAATTGAAATAATACTACTCGTATTATTGAAGTTAATATTTATTTATATTCGGCTAAGAATAAAATACTATATAATTGTTTAATATATTATGTAATGCGTATATAATTTATGTCTTGTATTTTAATATTTATATTGCAATATGTAATTAGTATAATAATTTCTTAAGGAATCATTTTGAACCTTCGGTAAGGAATAACAAACTATTTTTACGACAACACGATAAATGTGACAAAATCGTTAACAAGATAATGATCCAATAAGTATTTAGTCCTCCTTCGAGAGACTGCCCAAGTCGCTGAGAAAGATTTCGGGCGAGAGGACGTGCGAGGAGCCGACGAGGACCTCCCAGTTGCGCACCGCACTGGTCACCTCGTAGGCACACCTCATCTCGGACATGCTGACGCCGCCCACGATGAAGACGATGAGTCGGGGCACGTTCTTCACCTGCGCCTGTCCCTTGTCCTTGTGCCAGTGGCCATAGCGGGCACTGGTCGGGGCATGGTAGTTGGTGTTCTGGGCCCTGCCCTCGAGGAAGGGGAAGTGGCGCGAGTCCAGCTTGTCCTCTATGCAGTCCTCCATGATGTCCTTAATGACCGGGGTCCAGCGCGACATCTGATAGGTGCTCTCGGTGGTGCGCTCCTTGCGCGGCACCGAGTACACCTTCTTGCGCGAATCTGCAATGACATTGATGCCCAAGCAACTAAGATTACGCACCATATCCTGATCCTTGGGCGACAGCTGGGCGTGGGTGAAGAGCTTCGTTAGGTTCTCCTCCGATATTCCGTTCTTGATCATCACATAGAGGGCAATAATGCGAACTTTGTCGTAGTTCGAGACATTGGCATCCAGCAAGATGGGCACAATGTTGCGCATATGATCCTTGATCTTCTCGCCCTCGGCGTCCGTGCCCATGGCCAGATCCTGCTCCACGCGGCACAGCTTGTCCACGTAGTTCTGGTACGACTTCATGCAGTCCTCGGCCAAATGCAAGTGGGTGGAGTACTTGGACAGCTCCTTCTGGTACTGCGGCATCTTCTTGATCATCTGCGACAGATCGCGCATCGACGACTTGTCGGCCGAGCCCATGCGCTTCGAGTCGGTGAACTTCTTCAGGTTCTGAGTCACCTGGGTGGAGACGACAGCGATGTGCTCGTGGCGCAGCTCCACCCACAAGTCGTCGTTCTCGTCGAGCAGCACCTCCTTATCGGGCTGATTCGGACCGGGTGTATAGCGATAGACGTCGTTCACAATGGGTAGCAAATCGTAGGCCATGGCCTGAAGCGTCAGCTCGTGCAGCAGTGGCGACACACAGTCGAAGCCGCGATCCAGGATCAGCAACTGGGAGCGGGCCTTCTCCGGACCCTCGCCCATGGTGGCATCATCGGCCTTGTAGGCATCCAGCTTCTGCTGCACCGATGCAGCCAGATCAATGTTCCTGTCCCAATCGCTGCGATAACGCACATTGGGGTATTCCCCCAGAGTGGCACACAAAGTGGCTATTTGCTCGGCAATGCGCTCGATGTGCTTGCTCCTGATGGAGGCAAATGCTGGCGAGTACAGGCACTGGAAGGTGTCCGGTGAGTCCAGCGAAAATACCTGGCATTCGTAGGGCAAGAATGCGATGTTGATCTCCTTCAGCGTCTTGATCTTCCCGGCAGCACACGATTTGCACAAATCGTTGAACAGCTCCTCGGGACAGACCTCCGTGAAGAAGACGTGGGCGTAGCGATACATGGGCCTGGCCGGATTCTCGAAGTCGCGGATCAACCCACGCACTGACTCATCCGAGGGGGTGATCAAGTAAATCGCATCCATGGTGGGCAGTGGCTCCCGCTTCTTGTTGATGTCCTCCACCAGGGTGATGCCCTCGGCGCTGATCTCGTGCATTTTGGTGCACGCCGAGACCATGCGCATTCCCAGCTTGTCCACAACTAGGACCCTCCATTCCATGCCACCCGCCCCCGCAGCCGCCGTCGACGTAACGCCCTGCTTTTTGGGGGCTGGAGGCTTGTACTTCACCACCTCGTTCATCAGCTTCTGGCCCACCAGCACTTTCAAGGCCATTTTCACTGCGTTTTATTGGTCACGGGCGCAAAGGCAACTCGATTATGAACACACAAAGCGTTAATATATGATTCACTGGACTTGTCTTTTTCGTTTTCCGTGTCTTTTCTTGTCCTAAAGAATTTTATCTATTCCTTGGCCAATTTTCTGTATTTTTTTCGTTTGATGACTATACCACAGTGTGGCCAGGGTGCGTAGAGTCGATTATAACATTTACCAATAAGTCGGTATATTTTGTCGACCCCTGTTAAGTTAACAGAGGGTGGGGCGGGTTATTTTCTTAAATTCAAATAAGAATATTTTATCTTTGCCCAACATTAAATTCAAAAAGTTTTATTATTACGTTTATAATTACATTTGCTAAGTAAAAATCAAAAATTTAATATCAAGCAACTCAAGTGTTGCATTACTAACGTTTTCTAATTGGAAACATAAATTCTAATTTATTATTTAGGAACATTAATATATGCTGGCCTTAGTTTATGTTTTTTAAATCAATTTTGGAAAAATAAGTTTTGCTTACAATGAAAATGGAATAATGGAGTGAATTTGTATTATACATTCGCCATACAGTTTTTTAGCTGTATTTTGCGATGTCTGATTTAAGCAAATACAATAAAGCCAAATAAAAATTCCGATTTGAATTTAAATCCGTGGTTTGAGTCCTTGCTTATACATATATGTTGGTGGTATATTTTTTAGTAACCCGTAGCTGGTCACACTGCATCAGTGGAGGAGGAAAATAAAAGAATTTTTAGTTGGCCAACTGGTCGAAATAAACTCGGAATGCAGATGCAAACGTACAAATTGGTGGTGGTCGGCGGCGGCGGCGTGGGAAAGTCAGCGATAACGATACAATTCATCCAGGTGAGGCCCCAGGAGCACCCGACACCCTGGTGACGTCGCCATCAACAGGGGCGGATCAGTCTGTGGAGCGGGGCGGGGGGCGGGGCGTCCCTTGTTTTGGCCAGAGCAACAAACAAGCAACAAGCGACCGATTTCTGTGCGTCTGTGTTTGGACATGCGTGTGCATAGTTTCGAGCAGAGATCATCATCATCAACATCATCGTCTTCGTCTTCGACGTCGTTGTCGTCGGGGGCCACACCCCCGTGTGTATCTCCATTTTGGGGAGCTGGAGATCCAAGTGGTCAAGAAAGCCAGGGAGTAAGAGCCCCCAGTTTTCTGGGTGTGTGCCGATCGATTCCGAGCGTGTGTGCCATGGTCACGACCACAATGCCCGCCCGTTTCCATTTATTTTTAGTCATTTGCGTCATCTGCACATCTTTCGTGTATATTCTGTCGAGCTGTAGAGCCGTAGAGCTGTAGCCTTTCCCGAAGATATATAGAGCATAGTGGATGTGGATGATAATAAAAGTGACGTGTGTAAACAAATCAAAGGCGGAATGATAAACGCACCCCGTCTTATAATCTTAATATAGCATATCTCAAACCAAAATATAATAATACTTTATCTTGCAGAGCTACTTCGTCACGGACTATGATCCCACCATTGAAGACTCGTACACGAAGATGTGCGTCATTGACGATGTGCCAGCCAAATTGGACAGTGAGTACTCTAAAATTATCCCTTCCAAAAAACTTTACTAATCTCTGTAATAACCCAGTTTTGGACACGGCCGGTCAGGAGGAGTTCAGTGCCATGCGGGAGCAATATATGCGCTCCGGCGAGGGCTTCCTGCTCGTCTTCGCGCTCAACGATCATTCCAGCTTCGATGAGATCCCCAAGTTCCAGCGCCAGATTCTGCGCGTCAAGGACCGCGACGAGTTCCCCATGCTGATGGTGGGCAACAAGTGCGACCTGAAGCAGCAGCAGCAGGTGTCCTTGGAGGAGGCGCAGAACACCAGCCGCACCCTGATGATGCCCTACATCGAGTGCAGTGCCAAGCTGCGGATCAATGTCGACCAGGCCTTCCACGAGCTGGTGCGGATCGTGCGCAAATTCCAGATCGCCGAGCGCCCCTTCATCGAGCAGTCGTACAAGAAGAAGGGCAAGAGGAAGTGCTGCCTGATGTAAGCGGATGGGTCACGTCACAGACAATCTCCTGGATGCCGCAGCGGATGCAGGAGCCAACATTTAACGAGTATAACACCAAATTTTTTGTGAAAAAAACACGCGTCGACTGAGCTTTGAATTCCGTTGAGAAGACGATAAACCAGTAAACCAGAAACCCGAAAGCCGAAAGCCGAAACCAGTAACCGCAAACCAGCGCGCAAAACGTGTCAACGAGCCCAAACGAAGTGCATTTCTTACCTGCCCAGGTGCATGCCGCATTCAACGAACGAATCGAATAAGCTTCGCCACTTTCAAATAGCTACGAAGAAACTTAAAACTAGAAACTCAAAACTAAAAACTCAAAACTAAAAACTAAACAACGCCACATGCAAACAGAAACACGAAACATAGTTAGATATATACAACAGATTCACACGGATAACATATATATACATATATAAATATATAAATATATATATGTATGTATATTTATATATATATATTTCTACATATATTTTTGTAATATTATTTGTTGATCAACGACAACAATTAAGGACGAATGTTTTCTATGATTATTACCAATCGTGGCTCGCAGGCCATTTGTTTTTATAATGCAATAACTAAACCCAGAACGTTTGTTTCGATTAAGCCAAAACGTAATAATGTGTTATTGTAATTTGTATTGTTATTTACTACTAATATAAACGTATACATATATAAACTGCTTACAATCCGATTTTGTTGTAACAAATTGAGTGCCTCGTTCTCGCGCGTAGAAAACTAAAAAAAAAACACACACACATCCATCTCTGTATTTTTCACACACACCCGCACACAACATTTTTGTACTATATATAGTCAGCTGCCAGGCGCACAACTCGCAAACTCACTTAACGATATTTTTGTACATGTCCCCAGTCGAATTCTATGGTTTATTGTTCGCCAAATGTATTGCAACAGTTGCTTAAGCCGCAATCTCGTTTAACTCTTATACACTGCTTAATTTAACGAACTTATTTAATGGTATATAAATAAATATATAATTATATTTAATATTAAACATATGCGCAATTCTAATAAACACATGGAGAATCACAAACGCTTCCACTTAGATGAATGTTTTAATGACGCAAATTCGATTGCCTGCCGATTGGAATTGAATACAGGACTAATTATAAAAGGAATCCCTAGAAGTGTGGTTTTAATTAACTGCCAGATGATTATTTTTTCGCATCTGAAGGGGTATAAAAGCAGGCTAAACCGAGAAGGAAGCAGCATAGAACTCAGAATGAATCCCAAGAGCGAAGTCCTCGTTGCAGCCGTGCTTTTCCTTCTCCTGGCTTGTGTTCAGTGTCAGGTGAGTAGAGTGATTTAATGCATATAAAACCCTATTTTTCATATACTCGTATGTTTTATATTAGCTGACTTTCTCGCCGGACTGGGGAAAGCGTTCCGCTGGCGGATCAGGTCCTGGATCCTTTTTCGAGTCGCAGCAGGGCAACTGCAAGACCTCCAACGAAATGCTGCTCGAGATCTTTCGCTTCGTGCAATCCCAGGCCCAGCTGTTCCTCGACTGCAAGCACCGCGAGTAGGAGTAACCTATATCCCATTCAGATCCTGATCCTGATTCCGATTCGGATCTCGGACGATGTCTAGCACGCACACACATACACTATCTATATGTACCCATATATATATACCATATATATGCATATACACAGCACGTTATCAAGGTAGTCGTAGTCGGCATTTAGATTTAATGGAACTTTTCTTTCCCAACAATAAATAAGCGCATCCAAAATGTATTCCCATCTGCCAGCAAAAGGGGAATTTTGACCTTAATGGGGTGCTTCAACTTTTCAAGTTCATACCTCAAAAAAATAGGTGACTAGTGGCTAGTGTCAATTAAATTAAATATGATTTCGAAAATTGCCGCAATTAAATCATTGGATGACACCCACTCCATTGGCGCTTAAGTTGAGGAGTGTCAGTGGCCCACGGCTTCAGTTCGTCGGCGAAGTTCATTGGATCAGAATGTGTGCGATCTCTGGCTCCCAAAAAGTTCATAAATTTCTTATAATTCTTGTGTGCCTTTCCATTTTCACGCCCGTCAAGTGTAAGTTGTGTGAATTCTTTATTTAATTTCCATTGGGCCTAAAAATACACCATGATCGTGCCAATAGATCTGTTTGAGTTATGTGATCGTGTCATTTCATTTAAAATGTGTCAACATAAACAAATCCCCACATCATTCATCTAACACCCAGCAAATGATTCAAATAGACCTCCCCAAATGATTTTAATCGCACTTCAAGCGCCACTGGCCCAGTTATTTTAATTCCCCCCGGGAATTAACGATGCATTTCGGTGTGAATTCGTTTCAACTGCAATTAAGGCTTTGAATAATGCACTGGCATTAAATTTAGTTTTTTTGAAGTGTGCATTTCCCGGTGATCATTAAATTCTGTGCTACAATAAAGTCAACGCTTTATAATATGAGTAATTGGTCATAAAATATGCTTAATTCGGTTTTTTTCGCTGATGATTTTAATTTGTTTTGCATTTGATGATAAGGTTAGTCATTGACATCCGTCAAATATTTTCATTTGTTGCACTTTGGTGTTTCATTGTTTTTTTAGACTAATTATCCTTTAACTTGTTATTTAAAAAAGTTACAATTTTGTGTGAGTCATAAATCAATAATTTTATGATTTATTATTAAAATGGAATCAAATGATAGGTTGTCTAGTAGCTCAAATAGAACAAAATTAAAAAAAGTTTTATTTTATTATATACTCTTTTACCATATTATTACTAATATAGTAATTTTTTAGTACAGAACTCAATATAAATGGCAAGAAATATAGTTTAAAAATTTAAAATTTTCAAATATATAATTTTCTAAATTTTCTTTTGCGTTGTTTTACTTTTATTGTTATCAATTATCTATACAACAAAAGTTAGATTTATGACATACTATAACTATCTAGCCACTTTTACGACAGTGATGGGATAATATATTTTTATAAAGCTTTATTTCGACCCCTCCACAAACCTTTGATCCGCTCCTGGGCTTGGGCTTTTCAGACGACTCTTTTGGATAATTGTGCCCCACTAAAATACAATTGAATTATAATCATTATGGGCCGCCGTGCTCCACTTGGCCAAGGTGCCTGCAATTGGCCGAAAAAGCTGAGTTTTGTGGACAGTTGCCACCTGGTGGCCGAGCAGAAAGCACGGATAAACGGATACGGATTGGAGATGGTGCTGCTGGACGAGTTCTGTGTGAAGGTGTACTTCTGGCCATTCCTGTCCTACCTGGCCAGCATGAAGGGCTGGTGTCCGCTGTATCCGCCAGGTTACTATCCCATCTACGCCCTGCCGCCGCCGCTGCAGCCGCTCCAGCCGATTGGTCCACTAATACCGAACCAACCCGCTCTTCCGTCCACACCTGCAGTGATACCGACGTTCCAGCCCACGCCGCCAAATCCCCAGCCGCCGCCGGTGACGCCACCACTGATCACGACCACGAGTAGTACCACCAGTACTACTACTACTTCTACTACCAGCAGCACAACCTCCTCCACCACGGGATTGACCACCCTGAGCACCGCTGGCACCACTCTGCCCGTGCCGGTGCCAGTGCCCACGTGTCCGTCGCAGCCCTTGGTTTGCCTGCCCGGCGGAGCACGTCCGCTGCCCAACTGCCCCTGCATCGATCCTCGCCAGCAGCAGAACACCCCGCTGGGCTCCTCCACGGGACCTCAGATCGGTTCGGACATGATGGTTTTCATGCCGCTGAATGGCGGACGCCGGCGACGTCGTCGCCGTAAACGCCGGATACTCTACTAAAATCACCCCGTCAAATAACAAAAACTAGCAACATCACAACCTATCCCTAAATCCTTGCATTTACACACACAAATATACGCAAAATTAGTCAACAAAAATAAAAACGATCACGAAATCCAAAGCAAATCGAATTGGCAAATCTAAACTGGTTTAAGAGCATTCCTTACCCGCCCAATCACATGCTTATTTTACAGCCCAATCCTGCCAAGATGCCAGATCCCGGCCTGGAAACTGCCTGCCCCTCACCTCCTGCCCCCAGCTCATGGAGGAGTATCAGGGTCAGGGGCAGGGGCAGGGCAACGAGTTCCACACCTTTCTGGGCCAGTCCATATGTAGCTTCGATGGCTCCACTTTCATGGTAATCCCCTAGATCTATTTTGGTTCTTACTTTTGTCCGATTTAATTGATTGAAAATATTATCATAATTGTTAAAGTTTTTATTTAAACTTATTTATAGAATTTCATATTTTTTTGCTCATTAGAAAACTATTTAAAATAAACTACGCATTAAATTGCACTTAAACAATTGTTTATGATGATTTTATAAATTTATAATTGGCTTATGTAAAGAAAAGTTATCATTCAAATGATAACCTATTTAATTATGATTGTTTTTGAACATTGGGTTTTAACTTAAACATTTTTAACTTATTGCTAATTGGTTTACTATTTCTAGAACGATAGAATTATAAAATATTTTTAAATAAAGACATCTAAATTTACATTGACAAATAAATTAACTATTTTTAAGCTAAGACTCCTTAATTCAAATCGTCAAAATTGTGAAAAAATTAAAGCAAGAACGTCTAACATTTAAGATGAGGCTAACAAAGTAAAGATTTCTTTTGCGTTTAGGTATGCTGTGCCTCGGATCGAAGTGGTAATGCCAGGAGCAGGAAGGATCTGCTGCTGACCACCACTGCACCCTTTGGCTTCTTTCATTTCTCACCGCTAAGTGGTGGCCCCACTGTCACTCCCATGGTTTTCCAGCCAACTCCGCCCCTAAATCCGGTGGTGAGCCCCAGTTTTAATCCACCTCCTCCTCCTCCAGCACCACAGAATACTCCACGATTGGCTACTGTTTGTGGCATTAGTGGTGCCACTTCCAATCGGGTGGTGGGTGGAATGGAAGCCAGGAGAGGTAATTACTAATTATTTAAATTTAGTTAAATATTTATCCATATGCTTTTTTACCTTTCTCCCACTTATTTAATCATTAATCCCCTTCAGGAGCCTATCCCTGGATAGCTGCCTTGGGTTACTTTGAGGAGTCCAATCGGAATGCACTTAAGTTTCTCTGCGGTGGCAGTTTGATCCATTCGCATTATGTCGTCACCTCGGCGCACTGCATCAATCCGATGTTGACTTTGGTTAGATTGGGAGCTCATGACCTCTCCAAATCCATTGAACCAGGTGCAATGGACTACCGCATCCGAAGAACTGTGGTTCACGAGCACTTTAATCTCAATTCTATATCAAATGATATAGCGTTGATTGAGCTAAATGGAGTGGGATCATCTTTGCCAGGTAAAATACGCTCTACTTATTTTCCGAAACCGAGCCATAAAAAAATCCAGTTAAAATAATATGAGAAAATGGGATTTAAAGTAAAAGAATTAAAAATGTGTACATTTTTAAATGTACATGTGTACATTTTAAATCTTAAAAAAACAAAAAATGTGAAAAGAAAAATGATATTACATTTTACAACATTATTATATTGATAAACATATTTTTCAGTTTAATTTAATAACAAAATTATTTATTTTACAATACCTTATCAATGCCTAATGTTTCTGTAATGCCCAGGTAACATAGCCCCCATTTGTCTGCCCGATTCGGCGAAATTCCTGCAGCAGGACTTCGTGGGAATGAATCCCTTTGTGGCCGGCTGGGGTGCAGTGAAGCACCAGGGACCCACTTCACAGGTGCTGCGGGATGCCCAGGTGCCAATAGTGTCCCGTCAGAGCTGCGAGCAGAGCTACAAGTCCGTCTTCCAGTTCGTCCAGTTCAGCGACAAGGTAAGCTTGTCATCCCAAAATCGAAGGGGGAATCCCCGAGAGAAGGCGAACATGGCAGACCTAATAAATCCTTTTCGCAGGTGCTGTGTGCGGGCAGTTCGAGTGTGGATGCCTGCCAAGGGGATTCCGGTGGACCACTCATGATGCCCCAGGTCAGTTACAATCTCTTCTGCGGTCTGTGAGTCATCCAACCTGTTTTGGCCCAGTCTTGAGCTCTGTCTCCAAGGTGGTTTGCTGGTGAATACCGCCCGCTAATTGTCCATTTTCGTGACGCAAATATGATTTCGTTGGTTTACGAAAAATGTCGATGACTTGCAGATAAGAATTTTTAAATTTTATGGTATATTTTGTAACCCCTCTTTTGTCAATTCTTTCAGCTGGAGGCCAATGGGTATAGGTTCTACTTACTTGGACTGGTTTCCTTTGGCTACGAGTGTGCTCGTCCCAATTTTCCCGGGGTCTACACAAGAGTCGCCTCCTATGTTCCTTGGATCAAAAAACACCTCTCGTTGGCTTAGAACATGACACATGTCAAATTGGACGTCTATCTTTGATGTGTCATCCAAGATTGAGAGCACTTAACAAACACTTGCATTAAAATCCTAAATCCCAAACACACATACCCACCGGAATTTCCTCAATAAATTTCATGTTTTTATGTTCTTGTTTGATTTAATTTGCAATCCATTGAATTTAATTGCCGTGTAAGGGAGTTTTTTGTGAGACTTGTTTTCACCATAAAAATAAATCAAACTATTACATCAATTCTTATCTTATAATATAATTTTAATAAATACCTTTTTTTGCCATTAATTAAATACTTGACTTTGACATCATTTCTTATATTATTTAAAACTGATAAATGTAGTTAAAAATGTTTTAATTGATAACTCTTTATTGCCATCAACAAATAATTATCAATGTTGTGTTACTTAATATGGGTTTGATTAAAATTGATTGTTCAAATTATATAATAAATATTAATGTAAGCATTTGTTAATCTTGTGTGTTTACTTTGAATACACTTCACAATATTGATTGTGCTTTCCCAGCTATTTATTTCCCATTTAATCAATTACAAAACAATTAAATGTCATTAGAATAATATGATTAAAATGTAGATAATTATCAAAGCAAATACCTAAGAGATGTGATTAAAAACGTGTTTTTGGTAAAAAAGCTTTGCTTATCACAACTATAATTATCACATTGCTTAATAATATCACCTAACTTATAGCTTTATTTACCCAATTCGATGTCACGCTTATTGAACATTTCCTACAAAGTATCAAGTTCGCGATATTATACATTGATAAATGAAACTGTCGAGCCGGAACCTAAAAAGAGCAATTCTTCGTCTTCAGGGTCTGGAATTTCCCGCACTTCACTTCGACCCCCTGCTGTTTCTACCTGAATTGCATGGCCAAGTGATCCGTATTAGTCATTATAGTAGAACGATCGCTGGTATTATGCCCCAGCGGTTGCATCGATCGCATGCCAATTGGCTTTCGGCGACGGCTCCCCGGAATTCTAATCAGGTTGAGTGCCCCCCGATCTCAGATAAATATATGGAATACACAACCAATCGGCGGAGATTTAGTGGGGTAAACTAAGTGTGTGCTAACTGTGATCTCACATCAGATGCATTATGCACACAGATATGGCGTCACGTGTCGAACTCTCCCTCCCAGTCTGAAATAATACAATATATAATCTCTAAAGTAATCTTAGACTGTCTCAATATTTATTTTTGAATAAAAAGCAGAGAACGTAATTATTATAGTCTATATTAAAATAAATTAAAATTAAATGTTTAATATATTTTGTTTAGTTATAATTATTATTTGTTTGACTTGTTATCTCTATCAAAAAATAGTAATTATTATAATTAAGACTTTAAGCCTTTGGTTACGATTAAATATTAGGTAAAATTAATTTTAAGCGATTTAAATGCCACTGATCCTCACTGTGATTCCAATAATTACGTATGCTTTATGGGAGGCTGCTATCTATATAATCAGCGAAAGCTTTTTACGGTACTCGCATACGAATGCAATTTAAAAGTATGAGAGTATTTCAGATTGCTAATCATGACACAGAAATAGAATTTGCGATAGAATGTGGCCGGCGTCTTTGGTCAGTTGGCTAAGTGATTCCCAATTGACATGTCAACGGGATCCGTTTTAATTTACCTTGATTAATGGCATTTATCATTCTTGTTTAGACGAGCGTCTAATTGAGTCACAGAATTCTCGGGACTGGATCTATGACAAATTGAGAGCAGCCCGAGGTCAACATTTTGGCGCCGCATTTGACTCACGCCTAAATTGAAAATTCCCTATTCCGAAACAAATGCCAGGTTGTGTCCTATACCATTACCAAATCCACTGATGCATGTTATTAGGCTGCTATGAAAATAAATAAATATTTGTTGCCATTTTCGGACTGGCTTGCTTGGGAAAATCATTTCCTAATCTGATGTGGGAATTCGGTGCCTTTTCCACCTTAATTAATGTGCTTGGAAGGCAATCACCGCTGTGAACCCCATCTGAATGCTCTCTATTGCATCCATTTTCACGGCCAGAGAGCGTACACTGATAGCAAAATTTTATACTCAATTAAATTAAGTATAATACCTATGGAATAAGTAGAACCCTTTTAATATGAAATGTTTAATTAAAATTAAAACCATATTCAACATAAATATAATAGATATCATATAGCCATACCCAAGGACCAAATTTAAATCCTTTATTTTCCACCAATAAGATGAGTATTTTATTTTCAATAAGATGAGTATTAATTAATACCACGCAAGTAGCAGAGTAAATTTTATGTGGTTTAAAAATAATTTAGCCACTTCGGTATAGAAATGAAATTATTGTTAATCAATAGTTATTGAATTAAAACTAATTGTTTAATACTGCCTGCAGTTTGTTTTCAAGATACCCCTATTTAAACTAATCTTTCATGTTTTTTTTGGGTGCAGGTATTAATTTATATTATTCAATTTATTATCAGTGTACGAGAGAGCTATAGATCGGCAGATCCGATGAGAAAGCTGCATATAAAGCTCGGCTCTGGATGCCGCTCGCTCAGCCGAATCGAAGACGCGAACGCTTTGGTCACGCAGGCCACCACAAAAGACGCACACGGCAATCTCCGAAGAAGCTTCCGCGGCTCCGGTTCTCCGTTTCTCCAAAATTTTCAGTTTGATAACGCCCGCCGGACGGTGAAGAACGCGCCGTTCTCGATATCTCGGATAAATATATATATACATATTATAAGTGAACAAATATATAAGTGAACAAAAATATAATAGATCGATCTCGCCATGAAGTCGATGTGCTGTGTTAGTGCTGTGATTACACTCCTGCCCCTCGTACTCCTCTCCAGACCCACCGATGCCCAGTTCAACCAGCGCCGGCAAGGTAGTCAGAGCCACTTAATTAGTCGAGAGCTTTCCGCTTCGCCATATCTATTTCTATCTAATATCTGTGTAGAACGTTTACGACTTAAGTCTAAGCAAACAACAAACCAGTTCCATTAACAACGCATCTCGGAGTTTAATCAAATCCATAAACTACACATCAACACGCATTTAAATGAGTTTAACCCAGATGGTACAAATATAACAAAATCTTCAAGTTCAATGGCAAGTTCGTTGCCTAAGTCTTTCGATTTGACAGCCGGCCAAAGGCGGCAATTTGTATTAGCGCTGCCAAATAATGAATAATCCCGTGTTGTGAACAGCCAAATTTGTTGGCCCATTGTGTTCGAGTTCAATTCCAGTTCAGCAAAACCAGTCACCAAGGTCGGACTTCGTCTCGGACACCGACTCGATCAGGTGTTTATTACCCGCGGGGCGTTCCCTTTATCGGGAGTGACCGGTACTCGTCATTTTTGAGCTATAGACGCCAATAACTGGCTTGACCAGCACCCGCCGTTACGCCAATCTAAAAACTTTGGGACTTACACAAGTGATTGTTAAAATAGAGTTTTCTCTTAGAGTTTATTTCGTTGTCATTACAAAGTAGAAAGTTCTTAGACATTTTTATATAGTTGTAATGTCAATGTAAATCTTTCTTAATTAATACTAATTACTTTGACTTTTTGCCTGCTTCTCAATACTTTAACATGCATCCCATTGGAAAGCGTTTTTGTTTTGTTAGGTTCGGCCACCATTTATGGCATTCAAGCCAACATAAACAAAGCACATACAAAGTATGACTACAAAATTGCTTTGAATTTTAAAAAACCATTTTAAACAAAGACAAAATCATTTTGTATATATTTTTTTGAGGCTTTTGAGTATAACAATAGAGAATTACTGCTTTGACAGTGCGGATTTTAGTGTAGGTTTATGTGTTCTTGCTCATTGTAGAGTTTTGGCTTTGTTAGAGGTGTGAAGAACATAATTAAATCCCCCATTACTATAAGTGATTCATCTTAAGGTTTGACCATTTGTTAAATCGTTTATCACTCATGAAAAAGGAATGGACATTTTTTAAGACAATCAAATTAAATTGAAGATTTATACATTTAATTAATTTAAATAAAATGTTGTTAAATTATAATTGTCTCTAACAAAAGTTAAGTTTAATGTTTTTATTAGAAATGAGTTAATTATAATTCGATCCAAAAACCAATTGAAGTAATTATTAAATGTATGCAAAAACTGTACGAGGAAAGTTAATAAAGTGAGCCAACTTTTTGTTTCTGTCAAGTTCGCCAGAACTGCATCACCCCCGAGAACTACTATGGAAGTTGCGTGACCCTGACCTACTGCCCCCAGGTGGTGAACATCTTCAGGACCACCAACAGGGATCGGGCCCAGCGCTATGTGATCGCCCTGCAGCGCAGCTGTGGCACCCGCAACATCAACGGGGATCCGGTGGTAGGGACACATCCTCCTCCCCTCACTTTCCATCCTTTCTAAGCTTTGCCCTGCCTGTCTCCTACGTAGATCTGCTGCACTGAACCCAGATATGACCAGGTCACAGAGCGACCTCCGAACCCCTTCTTTCCCACAGCGCCACCGCCTCCGCCCGAAGTGAACGATAATGACTTTCTGATAACTATCCCGAGAACAACTACGACGACCACCTCGACCACGACGACCACTCCAGCTTCTCTACCGATCACCTCATCGGCGCCACTGGTGGATCAACGGGGACCCTTGTGCCGAGGACCAGACACCAAACCCGGAAATTGTGTGGGTGAGTTTTCTTTATTTGCACAAAGTTAAATTTAAAGGTAGAGAGTTTTTTTTATCAATATATGCATACACGTTTTGGTTATCAACTTTATGACTTTAAGTTTTTATTTCAAATATCATTTGGTTTAACTAAAATTACTTATTATTCGAGAAAACAAGTACCAAACACGTACACTTTTCATAAGTAGTAACCAGTTTTTTTTTGGAAAGTACTCTATGTTTAAACCCGTTATTTGAATAGTAAAAGTGTATATTGAATTGTGCAACACGTACAGAAAAATATATATAATTATATGTTCTTGATCTCATTCAATGTCCATCTTGTGATCTAACTTTATAAGTCAGGTCTTTGTAATTAACATGCAGATTCTAGTTGTGTCTACTTTGTCATGTGAAACTAAGAAACGGCATAGGCCGGTTATTAGGCGATATGTGGTCATTCGGTCAATAGCTATCGATGCACCAAAAATTATAGAAATCGAATCATTATTTTGGAAGTTATAATACATTTGACATTTACTTCTCGCTCTTAGCTTGTAGTGTTGACCCTGCAGTTCGGCAGATGGCGCCAACCAAATCACGATTGTTCTCTGGAGTTATTTTTATTATAAAATTAGTTAACTAAGTAACACAAAAAAAAAATCAATTATTTGATTTGAACTAGAATTCGATTTTAATATACTTCGAATATTAATCTTTTAAGGATAAAATTTTAAGATAATTCAAGATAAGGATTAACAGAGAAAAAGCCAAATTACACTTAAAGTAGATTTATCTGAATTTTTCCAAATTTTTTAAACAAATTTTCTGTGTACATTTGTTCTCACGCGTAACTTATTAAATATTCTTAACCCATTTAGAACTCAAGGAATGTGCTTCGCTGTTGAATGAACTGCTGGTAAAGCAGCGGGATGAGACCTTTTCCAATTTCCTGCGTGCCTCCAGAGTGATTTGTGGCAACCAGGGCACCCGGGTGTGCTGTCCCAACGGACAGACGGTCACCACTCCGCCTCCCGTTCTGATCAAGAACTCGGACGAAGTGCCTCGTCGGCTGTTGAATGTGGAGGAGGGATGTGGCTATACGGTCGGCTACTACAAGAAGATCGTGGGCGGTGAGGTGAGCCGCAAAGGGGCGTGGCCATGGATAGCACTACTTGGATATGATGACGCCTCCTCGTCGCCGTTCAAGTGCGGCGGAACCCTGATCACCGCCAGACACGTACTCACTGCGGCCCATTGCATCAGGGGTGATCTGTGAGTGCATATTTTTTTCTCAATGATCTATGTTTTAGTCTGATCCTTTTTTCATTTCCAGGCAATTTGTGCGTTTGGGAGAACATGATCTGTCCACGAACACGGAGACTCCCCATGTGGATATTAAGATTGCTAGGGTAAGTCATAGTTTGAGAATTTTAAAATATATATTTTGTTTTTATATTTCACGTTCCAAAAGAAAATTACAGATTTTTTTTTATAATTAAATATTGTAAATTGAAAAAGTCAGTCAATTGTATTGTAACTAAAAAATTTAAATTCGTTTTGCATTAAGAAAGTCGTTCTAAGCCCAAAAAGCAATAAGACTTTTAAACTGAAAAGAATACATTCCACATTCTACCTTAAATACCAAATTTTATTAAGAACTAACAAACATCGAAGTCATTTACAAGTAAATGAAAATAAACAAAGCTTAAAGGAGATTTTTGAAATCGTATTTATAATGTTCCAAATATTTATTTGTATTCCTTAAAATTATATGAGATCTAAAATCTTTAAAGGTTTTTTTTTTAATTGCTGTTATAATTGATTATTGCTTTTTTTGATTTTTTTTAATGCCCTATAAAATACATGAGCTTTAAAATTACTTTTTTGTTGGAATAACCTAAAATTTTTCCCTTCAGTACGTGGCCCATCCTGAGTACAATCGTAAAAATGGACGCAGTGACATGGCCATCCTGTACTTGGAGCGTAATGTGGAGTTCACCAGCAAGATCTCGCCCATCTGCCTGCCGCACACGGCCGCTCTGCGCCAGAAGTCCTACGTGGACTACATGCCCTTCGTCGCCGGATGGGGCAGGACAATGGAGGGCGGTCAGTCGGCCACCGTGCTCAATGAACTCCAGATTCCCGTCTACGACAATGCGGTGTGCCAGCAGAGTTATGCGAAGGAGAAGCGCTACTTCTCGGCCGATCAGTTCGACAGCGCCGTCATCTGCGCCGGAGTTTTGACCGGCGGCAAGGATACGTGCCAGGGCGACTCCGGCGGACCACTGATGGTGCCGGAACCGTACGAGGGCAGACAGCACTTCTACCTGATCGGCGTGGTGTCCTACGGCATCGGCTGTGCCCGTCCGAATGTGCCAGGGGTTTACTCCAGCACACAGTACTTCATGGACTGGATCATCAGCCAGGTCCAGCAGACGCCCTAAGTTGCCATCTTAAGCCAAACTAATCTTATCAAAATAAATCTGTAGTCGGAATAAAACGATTGATATTCTAAAACCAACACAATGGGCTTCCATGAACTTAAAAATAAGCTAGCTTTAAACCTTATAAATAAAATAATTAAAAGCATTTTTTTGGTTTTTCATTTCTCTTTTTTTTAAATTGATTTGAAAATAAAGTTAAAAGTTATTATATTTTTTGTTTGCATATTTTTGAAATAAAACTATTTAAAATTTCAAGTCGATTCAAAGAAAATTGACAAAGATAAAATCCTTAAAAATAAAGAACCCGTTGCGTATACCAAAATAACTTAAAAACTACTATTTTTCTAAAAATGTTCATACCTATTTAAAAAATTCAAATTTAGCCTTTTTGATAAAATAAATGGGGTTTTTTTAAAACCAAACAATGACCTTTACTTTTTGGGTATTTGCAAATACAAAATTTAATTTCCCAATTGGGCAAACATTCATATTTTTATAAAATCTTTGACAAAATATTAATTTATATATCTAACTGTTAAAGATGATCCCCTTCACTACAACTTTGATCACCGCAAAACAAATCAAATACAAAATTCCAATTAAATCTTACATTTCATTGGCTTAAACAATATTACATTTGGCCAGTAGATATTCTATATTAGCCTCAACTATTTCTAATGCCAGTACTGAGCGTTGGCTATCTTGAGTGCAAATATTGACACTCCTTGCTTTGTTCTCAGGATGTCTAATCCCTGAATGCGATGCCTGCCCAACGGCAGCAGCAAGATCCCTTTTAGGGTTACAGCATCTTATGCAAATCAAGCGCAAGACGCCCATCAATCATTCTGGTAATGATCGCGTCTTGGGTGCAGGCAGGGTTATGTGTTATGTAAATGCGGGGAAAGAAGGCAGCTTGCGTCCCTGGACATGAACTGCATTTTAATTGCTGCGGCAGCCACAAGCGGATTTGCATACCTCAGGGACAGAAGTAGTCCAATGTTCAAGGTATCACTAGGGCGCCATCTCCTGAAGCAGAACAAAGGGTTACTTTCCCCCAATCTCACTCGCTTTCTTTTCTATTCTCTTTCTTGCTCCACGCAGCAGATGAACAAATCAAATGCCGTAGTACAAAGCAAGACGAATCCTTTTTGTAGTCAAAACGCCTCCCGCGCATTTGTGGCCACATGGTCGGCCTTCCTTTAAGATTCAAATCGCATCTGGCAGATGATTTAGTGCTCATAAACCGAGAGAGAGAGAGTTCATTAAACTGCATACCCCGAAATGTCATTCTCTGATCTTATAACAATTAATATGCAATCACAACAGCGAAAGTATATCGATCCGATCATCATCATCATCATCATCAATAATGGCAAGTAAATTTGCATGCCCCAGGATTTTGGCAAACATTTGCATACCAAAGCCGATGCCACACAAGGGTGTTAATTTCCTCATTACCCGATTCCCAGCTTAGACATCTTTATCGTCGAAATCCCGAAAATATTCGCAAGGGTTCGCAAGGATCGGAGGGAGTTTTGCCAGGATCTTACCTTTTTGGCGGCGTCAAAAGGGCGCACAAAGGAATTGCCCACAATCGCAAATGTAAACACAATCCGTCATCATATCAATGGGTGCAATTGTGATCTATGATCTCGATGATCTTTCAATTTGCCATGATCAATGAGGGCAATTGTCTGGTTTTGTTCTTCGCCACGTTATATTTAACTGCTCGTTTTCTTTTGTGTGAGGCAGGAGTTAAATAAGACTTTATTTTATAGCTCTTAAGTACATATCCATTTGGTTATATTATTTAAAATAAATTATCGCTTTCTCTTCAACATGTCTTTCTTTCTTTATTGTTTTGTAAAATTGTTGTATGCAGAACTTTTAGACATCTTAAAGATTGTAATAAAAATTTGATCTATACCTGTTTTATCTAGAGAATTATCAGAATTCAATTTTAATATTAAACAGGCCTTAACGAAATAAAAAATTCGTGACGATCGCACCAACATACAAAATTTCTGATATAAAATGTAGTGTCGAAAATTGATTTAACGTTCGTTCGGACCGCTTCAGTCAGGTATTTAAATTGTTTGACTACAAAACCATTTTCAATTGCAGCGTGCCGTTCATAGTAATTTATAGTAAAATACAGCTTAAAACTAAAAATGCACTTTCTTATCTGTTGTTCCATATGTAGTTTTTTAACTGTACACAAATTAACGCATAAATAAATAAAACAGTTTTAGAATTTTGTTGTTAACAATATTAGAACTTTTTATTGATGGATAAATAATGATTTTATTACAGTGTTTAGAATAGATCACAGAGACTACAAACTATTTGACTTAATGCTTCTTAAACAAATTCTTACTTAGACGCATCTAAACTTATTGAATTGCACTGGAATTGAAACGATTTGGGTATCCAAATCTGCCACTACTTATGGCCCTCCCCCGCCCCATCCACCCGATCCTCTCCAGCTAGGCCTCTGGTGAAGCGGCGTTCCTCTTGAGCGACAGCACCTCGTTCAAAGTGGGACTGAGTGCCAGGGCGGGATTGGCCACCGCAATGATGTTGTCCCCCGCCGCGGATATGACCTGAACCCCACTGAGAGCTGGATTGGAGGAGGTGCCACTCAAGTCCACGGATTCACGGGGCGGCGATGAGGGCTCCATCTGCGGGGAACTGGGCGATCGCTCACTTTCCATTCCATTGCAGGGCGTCTGTGGGGGAAACACAAATTTTCTTTAATCCTTAGGCTTTTCCCGGGCAACGAAGTGCCCTCCAAGAGCTCCAACACATACTCACTGGCATGGTCGGCGAACTGGAGTTGCTGAACGAGAAGCGCGAATCATTGTCCTCATAGTCAGCCGCCTTGCCAAGTCTGGAAAAAAAGGAATTTAAAAATAATTTTAGTGGAATTAACAATTAACAATATTCAGATCATTTGGTTGTACTTTTTTATTGCAGAAAATTTTAAATACTTAATTTTTAGCTGTGATTATCAAATATAATATAGATATAATGTTGTGCTTTATATTAAAGAACACGTCAAATTTATTTTTGAAGTTTTAGATTGCTGGTATCAAAATACACATTTAATGGATAGAAATTTAACATCAAACTAACGTAAAGAGTATTAAGACGCTCTTTTAGGACATTTAGTTAAAAAGTACTAAAAAACTTTGCAACAGATTTTGGTTATTAGGGGTTTTAAGAGTGTAACTATAGAGCACAAGTTCATTTAAATTCAAATATGTATTTGTAAGGCTTGAATCAAGCTAATAAATTTATAAACATTGGCATATATGTAATTGTTTGATCTTCATACTCACGAGAACTTGGCAATTTCCGTAAGGTCGAACGGCGGCTTGGCAAACTTTTGGTACATGGCAAACAGATTGTAGCGCGAGTCCTCGACAGCTTCCTTTATTTATTGGTGGGATTTATCAACAAGATCAGGGATTAGAGTCTCTCGTTCTGAAGGAAGCCAAGTGGAAGCCAAATGGAAGCTAAGCGAGGCAAGAAGGCAGATATGCGTGGAAAGATGTGTTTTTGGAGGCCAAGGAAGAAGACACGTGGATCGTTGGTTTTGGCAAATTTTGTAGGATTTATTTATTGACTCAACAATGGGAAAAGGTACAAGAATATATTGCAAAACGAATACTGACTAAATAACTTGATTTTAAAAAATTTTAAAAATTCAACTATAATTTAGAGTTAGGGGTTAGTTGTTAAAGGTAAATTAAGGGTTAGTAAATATATCAAATATCAAATATCAACAAAAACAGTACTGGAAACACAACCATATAAGAATATATTAAAATCATGCTAATAATACCAAATTAGTAAATTAGTTTTAAATACTAAGGGATTAGTTTTGTATATTTTACGTTTTAATAAATGACTACAAAATCTTTAAGAAATTGTGATGATTTCTTCAGATTTTTCTATTATTTTTTGTATATTACTTTAAAGGGCCTTTAAGACCATGTAGTTAATCTATAGAAGTTTGAAATAGAAATTGAGGAGAAATTTATGTGTAAGAATAGCTCTACATTAGTTTAGTAAATTTAGGATAATATAGCTCTACATTAGTTTAGTAACTTTAGGATTATATATAAGTAAGAGACTAGATATCTACGGAAACAATACTATAATTTGAACTTGGATCCCCTTCCACAGGTCAAGATATTCTGAAAAGAACCTCTCGACCAGGATTAGTATATTGTGTTCTGGCGATCGCGAAAGCTGCAAGGCAAATTTTTGGGTTAACAGGGAGCTCCTCCGGAGTCCGGAGGACTCTGAAGCAAAGCTGTAGCTGTAGCTGTAGCGGAAGCACTGCACCATGGGCGATGAACCTACGGCTCTACGGGATCTAGCTTCCTTACCCTGTTCAAGTCAAGTGGCAGCTGGTTGGCCTCCGTGGAGGAGAGTCGCTGCCGCTTGGACGGCACAGTGGCGGCGTCACTGGACTCGCAGTCGGTGTCGCCAGGACCACGTCCTCCGCCCCCCAATCCACCCGATCCCTGTGAGCTGGGCAGCTGGGTGAGCAGACCACCGTACCGGGCAATGCTGGCGGAATGGCCAAAGCCGGCATCCTTGACGATCTGCCGGGCCAGGGGGAAGAGCTCATCGCGACGGGTGAGCAGCCAGATGGTCTGGGGATTGCGGCACAACTGGGCAGCCGCCTCATTGACGCACACCTCGTGCAGAGTGAGCGGCTTCTCCGGCCGCCTCTTGCAATCGAATCGCCCATAGATGGCCGAGTACTTACGGATCTCGTCCATGCGCCGCGGATCCTGTTCCCCCATGGCGATCACCTGCTCCAGTTCCCGGGTGGTCCGCTTCCTGGTGGTCTGGGCTCGCGGCTCCCGCTGCGGCAGCTGCCTCCCGATCTTGTCCGCGCACATCGTTATCCGCTGGATCTGCATCTCGGTGAGGACGGGAGTGAGCTGGGGCGAACTGGAGGACACCTGGTGGGCGGTGCTAGCCGGTAGGCTACAATTGTTAACGACGGCATGCGGACTACTCGTCAGCGGGTTGGTGGGGGGCAGGACCAGGGGCATGG